TCACCGCGTTGTAGGTCTCTTCAAACCCTACAACCCCTTTTTTTTTTTTTTTTGTCCATTATTAATTTTTTTTTAAATGTTTGAAATTCTCAGCCGCACCAACCTCAGGGGCCGACCTCAGCGGTCGGGATCCCGACCGCTGGCCGAGATTGACCCCGCGGTCATGACCGCCGCGGTCATGACCGCGGGGGATACATAGCGCTCCCTACCACCGTGTACTGCCCTTCCACTCGTTGACCATCATCCCCTGGCATGCCAAAGCTCCATATTGGCCCCAACCCCCGTGTTCGGAGTGCTTGCAAGACCGTGAGTACCGAACCTCTGGCTTCATCCGGCGAACCCGATCGGAGGAAGAACGACGAGCGCACAGCCTCCGGCTGCGGCCATCTGCGTCAGACTCTGAGACCAGTAACACACGACGCCAACAAGTGGTCGGGCAACGCGATAGCCATAGTGTTCCACCGAAGCACCAAGTACGAGTCTGACCCAGGCGATGGAACCAACCGAGGTGGTAGCTCCACACTCAGACATTGACTCGCGCCTACCCTTTTACATCCCTACCCCTGAAACTTGGCACATAAGATCTCAGTTCCGACCTGGGACTCCACCCCCACTTTCCAAAAATCCTTGGCACACCCTTTTCACACTTCCTGTCCCACTCCCACTCCGATAAGGAAGTCGCGCAGGGCGTGAGGTTTGGGCATCACAGCGCAGGAAAGCCGAGAGGAAGGAGGCCGAGGAACGTGCAGAGGCTGAACGGGTGGCGGCGGTTCTTAACAAGAAGAAGAAGGAAGAGAAGTCGTGCAAAGAAGTTGACATCAAGGAGGAGCTTCATAAAAGCTTGGATGCCAGAATGGTTGTTCGGGTTGGCAAACTCCATGAGGATGTACGTGAAGACAAGAGATTCGGGATGCTGTCGGTGACCTGTGTTTGGCGGTATCCCGTGGTAAGTGGAAGAAGGTGGATTCTGCAGTGCCGGCGGAAGAGAGTAGCGCGAGTAGCAACAAGACTGAGGAGTTGAATCTGCAGACAAGGAGATTGTGTATCATTGAGAAGAGGAAACGTGGGCCTGAAGCAGTCTTCAAAGGCAGTTCCCCGATGGAGCTGCCACCTAAGCGTACACCGAAACGGGGATCCCGACCTGTTGGGTTTTCAGGGAGACCAGTACACCTAAGAAGACTCCTCCGTGCTACCATTGGTATTGTCGGACGATTGAGATTTGAGAAACGGGTATTGAGCGACCTTAAGAATTTGGACGCACTCGTCCTACAGAACATCTGCAAAGATGAAGGGATACCGTACAATGGTAAGTTTGAGGCTATTTTTGATATCGCTGCTCATGGCACACACGTTGCGTACGACAGGAACGATGACGAGGACGTGATTGCGACACCGGTTGTGGGCACTGATGTATCCGTTGATGACGGTGGGGTGAATGACAAGGAGTGACGTGCTTTCAGTATTGCTGACTTGTGGTGCATTGTTCATTGTCTTACGAATTTATGAACCTTGATTGATGTGGTCAATGCTCGTATTGAGGAACTGCTTAGGCTTGTGATCGTTAATCTCTCACTTTATGGGGCTATTCGTTGGACATGTAAATGTGTGGATTCTTGGATTTGGATCTTTGAGACTTTTGGACTAGATTTCTTCAATATTAAGTCTAGTGTATATGTGGCAGTTTCGCCTTACTGCAAGTCGCAGTATGTTGGCAAGACGACGAGACATCTAAACGTCCGTTGGCGTGAACGCTGTGAACACATCTATGCATCTAGGAATCATTCCCCGAATCGTTTCTATCGATGGCTTGGTTGCTTTGGTGTTCAGAACTATGTTTTGGTACTCGTTGATACAATCATCAATGACGAGTTGACTAAGCTCGAGCTCAGGGGGTGTACATTCGCCAGTGGTCTCCTTTCCTGAATACGTTTGGCGTTCGAAGGAGTGGGCGACAGATTGATAAGGGCAAGTTGCTTGGTAGGAAGCAACGATCACGTTGAGGTAAGTCTACCCAGGAGGTCCAGCGGGTTATAGCACCTATCCGTTTTTGCCTAACCGAGTCGAATGATTGGCGTTTGGATTTGTTCGAGCTATTAAAAAGTAATGAAACTGCTGGTGCTCACCGTATTGAGAGGTGTCAGTGGGGTGAATACGTGGCAAACACCTTGGAAGAGCATCGTTAAGAAGTTCGACGCTACCAACGTGGTGCTTGCGATTTCCAGGATACAGCGACTTGGGCGTCCGACTAATCTCACTGCACATTGCTATTATTTCAAGGATATGTTTACATTGTTTAGCAGATTACCCCATGACGACATCTTGAAGGCGGTACGATGGTTACTGGACCATCATTCGAGCAAGGGCCGGAGTTTTGTTAGAGTCAACACGAGAGGTCGTGGTGTTTCCTTCAGTGATACTACCAGAGCCGATCATTGGAAGCTGATTGAGTTTGGTGATTTGCTAAAGTTTGTGACCATTGACTTGCGGCACACCTATACGTATGCTACGACGGTTTTGCTCAGGCAAGACGTAGGGATACCTATGGGAAAGAGCACTAGCCCTCCTTTGGCGTGCATCTTGTGCGCTTTCTCGGAGAGTATGTTTTTGCACAGTCTGGGACGGTATGCCTAGTATGTGTGTGGTATTCGGTTGGTGGATGACGTAATGCTTGTAGTTGCATCTCTTACTGGAAAAACTTTGGATTGGGTGGTACATTGTTTTTTGAAGTGCTATCCGCGTAATCTCACCTTGAAACGAACGGATGCAGGGGATGGGATTTTGGACGTCCTGGGTTGTGAGGTTGGGTGTTCAAACACCTATCCTTACCTCGGGAGTGTTCAACTTTCGCGCAATGAGACTAGCTTGTGGACACTGACAGGGCAGTCATTCTTCTCTTGGGGCAGTAAGCAGCAAAAAGTGCAGCGATTGCTAGCTACCTCCATCAGATCGATCAGAACACCTCGATTCGGTGTGAAATTCCCGGGCGTGTGCTGTCTTTAAGGCGCGAGCTTAGAAGGAAGGATGTCCCGGCTAGTTTTTTCGAGAGGACTTTGCGCAGATTTGCTTTTCGGCGTGGACTGATCTGGAAGCAGACTATGGAATTAGTAAAGGGTTGGTAAACAGTCGGACAGGGTTGTGCCAGTCTCACCAAGTATCGTCGTGTTTTTTAGACCGAGTGTTCGCATATAGTCGGCAGTACTGTAGTTTTGTTCCTTGGTCTTGTTCTTTGGCTGGACAGGGTCCTTTTGTCAGTTTGGGTCAGACTGGGCCCTTTGTCTATGACGGTTCGGGTAGGATTAGTTCATGACCCCTCCAGCGGTCCCTGGACCTTAATCAGCGGCAGATGGTTTGGGATTTAAGACTTTTGTGTGTTTGAGTAGGATACCCGGACCTGGCCGGTACCGGGCCTGGTAGTGGGTAGCATGTTTTGACACTGTACCAAGCAGACATAGACTATGTAGTGTGTGGGCACGACTTTCTCGACATCTTACGGAACGCTCACTGCCGTTTGCGGCGGTGATCGTTGGGTACGTGGATCGTTGGGTGGTTGCTGGGATCGTGGAATGTCAATTTGCCATGATTTTCGAGGTTTTTTGTTCTTACACACTATGCTGTCCAGTCACCCGCTTCTTGGTGTGTGTTGACTTCCAGTCACCCGCTTCTTGGTGTGTGTTGACTTGACTCGCATGCGTTCTTGAGATGTGATACGATGCTGCTGATGCTGTTCACATTAACAAAAAAAAAAGAAAAAAAAAAGAGACAATCTAGGCTACCAGCCGGGGGGCCCGGGTGACTTTGTTTTCCCGGGCAGCCCATCCGTGCAAGGCCAAAGTGCAAGGAAAATGAGCAATAGCGAGATGACAATGTCCAGAATGCACAATCACATTGAAGGCCAGACAGTATCACAGTGTCCAGAAAGCAGAAATACACCAATATAACACCAATGAAGAATCGTAACACTGAAAACGAATGTCAATGAGAGCTTGCTCTCGCCACCACCAACATGAGTGTCCAGGCCCTATCTCCCTACTTGGCGCTCACGCCCAGCCTACTTCCTACACAGCTACAGTCTGCCTACTAATTGACAATGCAACTGTTGACGTCAGCAGCCCACGAAGTAATTGAAGATGTCACCCAATGCAGACCATTGCCAATACCAGGTATGTGCCCTCACGTCATCATCATCATCCTTCTCTCTCTCCCCTGACGTACTCCCACGTCTTCCCTCTGTACACCCAAAGACCACCCCTGCGCTTCACTGTAGTCCACGCCCATCCAGCTATGGAGGCTGGGCTATGGCGCTGCCCTCAGCAGCGCCCTGCTTCCTGCACGACCGCACACGCTAGCACCTTGCCTCTCAGCACCAGCGGCAGCCTACGAGCATCCGCTCCAGCAGCGCTGCCGCCAGCATGCAAGTGCTGAATGACTGGCCAGCCAGCGAGCTCTTCCTACATGGAAAGAGCCTGCCTCCCTTGGCGGCCTGGCTGGCCTGGGCCTCTGCCCAGAAGCTTCCGGTAGGCCCCAGGAGGCTGTGCCTTCGATGCAGCTGCAGGGCCTCGTTCGGTTGGGCCTCCCAACTATACGTGTATGAGGCTGCGATTCTTGCCCAGGGCCTTCACTTTGGGTTCTCCCGGTTCCCATTTGTAGTTTTTGGTGAACCAAATGTCAGCGGCCTGCGAGGCCACAGGAGTACCCTTTTTGAGACCACTTCAAGAGGTGGTCTGAAATTCTCTTTTCGATTTTTTCATTTTTCAAAAAAAGAAATTGTAAAAACTCGTGCAGTTCCGAAGTCTTTTTTTTTTTCTTTTTTTTTTATACAAAAAACACGTGCTCCATCTATTGGTGGGGAGCAGCACCTGCTGGAAACCGGGTCCAGCGTCCCATAGATACAACCATATCCTCTCAAGACGTAGTACATTGCCAGGTATTTCCAATTTCCAATTTTTCTTAGCCAAGCCGGGTGATGGCCCCGGTATCTCAATTTCTCAAAATTCTATGTAAATTTTCATATGGGACGCTGGGCCCGGTTCCCAGCACGTGCTGCTCCCCACGAATAGATTGGAGCTTTGTTCCCAAAAAAAAAAAAAAAAAAAAAGACAGCCCCCCCTGTTATTTCCGCATTGAAAAAAAAAAGAAAAACTTTTTTTCTTTGGGTGAGGTACTGCAGGAGTACGTGCACTTGGCTTGGTGTCCAACTGGGTGGGTAGGAACTCTGTCCTTCCTGGACATAGGGCGTCGTTCGACACACCTCGGGGACGTGATTTCAAGGATTTCGTCTTCGTTCTACCTGTCCTCGGAGCCAATTTTCGAAACCGAAATGTGAAAACACTCCCGAGGACAAATCCTCGGGCTCCAAGGATTTTCCAGCCAGATCGTCCTCGGGCTCCAAGGGACCTCGCGAGGTCCCTCGGAGTCCGAGGATCCGCGATAATCGGGGTGTCGGCGGCGAGTCCAAAAGGGAAATTGGTGGCCGGAGGTGGTCCAGTGCTGGTCCTCCGTGTTGAAGACGGACATCGCGAGGCGCCAACGTCCAAAACGTCCACGAACGGCCTCGTCTTTTTACCGTTGTCGGGGATTGGCGGTACGTCCCTGTCGGTTCGTCGGGCGGCCCCATGGCGGTGCCGTGCTGGGCATCGAACGTTTTCGGGCGGGTCGTGGAGGTGTCGTAGCGTTCCCGCGGGCTGCCCAATGGTTGGAAACACGAATTTCTTTAACCGTCCACCCCCGCCCGGTGGCTGCAGCAATTTCTTACATTGTCATCTTCCCTCGTGCAACGTGTGTCTCCGGGCGCCGCAATCGCGGCAGCCAAGTGCGTCCCCTCTCCTTCATGGCTGACGTGTGCCGCAGGCTGCCTTTGTTGCTGCTTGCTGTTGTCGTCTTTCATATCTGCATCCTCGGTCGCGTCCCTGGGAGGAAGCATAGGCGCCAAACGACGAAGGAGACCAGGAAGATGGAGAAGGTGCAGACGAAGACGACGATGTCCGTAGGGGCTGGCGGGTCGTCACGTCAGCGTTGCAGCTCTGCGGAAGGCGGCAGGCGCCCGTACGACCCGACGCTGTACAGCCACCTGCCGTCCCACGAGATTCCATTGCCTCCGAGTGACGACGACAGCAACGAGCCCCGATCATCAGCAGTTCCTCTGGGCAGCGGTTCGACGCAGGATTGGATGGGGAGCCAGCTGTACAGATAGCCCTCGACGCCGACGTACACTGATCTGCTGGAGGGGCGGACCCCAGTTGGTTATGACGGAGGGCTCGTAGATCTCAGCTTCGGTTTGAGGTCTGGGAGTGGCCAGGACGTCACGCACACCGTTCTCGTGAACCCGGGTTCTTCCAGCAACCACACAGCGCCTTCGGTGGGGCCGTGTGGCCTTCCTGACACCCGCGGCCGGGGTTGTGGTCAGTCGGGCGACGAACGTGGACTCGTTTCGCGAGGGCGGACGACAGTGGGCACAGCAGGTGTTCGTGCGGAGGGGACGAGGACAGGTGGATCGACAACGGCAGGCGGCGCAGTCCACCGAGGAGGGGATGACGCTGACGGCTACGCTGCGGAGGTCGCGGGGCGAGAGGTTTGGGATGATTATCGGCGACAATCGCGACAATCTAGCACGTCCGCCATAACGAGAGGGGTGGCGAAGATCAATGTACGGGCGGACGACACACCCGGCGATTGCGACGGCGCGGGTGGTGAAGATTTGTCGGCAGGCGACGGGGGCAACGACAACGACGACGACGACGACGGGGAGATGGAGATTCGTCCGCTGGGGAAGAAACGGGGAGGGCCGAGGGCGACGAGCAAGTCCAGCGAGCCGCGCGCGGGGCGGAGAGGCAAGAAGACTGCGGGAGATGCATTGGCAGGCGACGGAGCGAAAAGCAGGGATTTTTGGACCGTGGAACACATGATTGCTCTTGTTAGAGCTAAAAGAGACCAGGATTTGCATCTTGCTGGCCTCGGCCACAACATGGGAAGGATGAAGACGAAGACATGGAAGTGGGCCGACATCGAGAGCAGGCTCGTGCAGATCGGGGTGACGACTAAAAAGGCCGATGACTGCGGGAAAAAATGGGATAACCTATACATGCAGTTCAAAATTGTGCACAAGTTCATGGGAGAATAGGGGAAGCCTGATTTCTTCTCACTGGCGCCGCGAGAGAGAAAGGAGCGGGGGTTCGATTTTCGGATGGACGAGCGTGTGTATTCGAAGATGATGGCCATGTCCAAGGGCGATCACACTATACAGCCCACAAATCTGGCGGACACGGGTGCGGCGGGAGGTGTTCAACTGCCAGGCCGGACTGGAGGTCGGAACGAATCAGGCGGTAGTGACGGATGCGGGGATTGGCAGGACGACGATCAAGGATCAACGCGAAATTCAAGTTTCAGCGGCGGTGCTGTGGGCGGGTGCGGCAAAAGGAAGAATGTGAGACAACAGACCTTCGACA